GACCTGTAACCCCTTATGGCCTGACCTCTGACCTGGAACCACTTTGTTATATGTGTCGTTATAGGGAATCCACTTGTTTTACTGGTGATGAGTGACAGTTCTCCTTTCTTTTCCCCATTTCCTGCCTCCTACCCCATTGCCTGCTTTTTTCCTCTTCTAATTCTGGTCCCCCAGGTATTTCCGGTCCGGGGCACCCCCTGTCATCAATCCCCTGCACACACATTTCCCAGGGGACACAGCTGTGCCTGGGGTTTTCTCACTGACTCTCAGCTGGACACTGCCCAACCGCACCTCAGGCATCTTTAACGTCAGCAGCCCCTTACCTGGGGACTGGTTCTTGGCTGCCCACCTTCCCCAGGCCCACGGCCACATCTCCGTCAAGGTGGGTTGACGCTGCCCAGGGCAGGAGGGGCCGGAGCTGCCCTTCCATCTCTGCTGAATTCCCTCCACAGGCTCCCTGGTGCACCAGCTTTGTGCCAGGGTGGGCAACAGCACAGGGGTGGCTGAGGTGGGACATGGCTAGAGGCCAGCAGGTTACCTGGTGGGCCAGAGGCCACGATCTGCAAGGAGGCAACTTGGGAGCCTTAGGGGAGCATAGTGGGCCCAGGTAAGCTGAGGGGAATGCCAATCGTCTGGAATCAGAGGCTCTGGCACTGGGAGTAGGTTCCCTTCCTATGGGAAGGCACAAGGGCTAATCAAGGTGGTCAGAAGCTATGGACTGGTCAAATCTGCACAAACCCAGAACTGGTCTTAGTCTACATCTTGATTGACGATAGCTCTGAAGACTCTCTTAGGCCACAGCTCAATCTTTAGTGCATCCGGGAGAATGCATTCCTCTTCCATCACAATTTCAGGCAGCTCCTCATGACCTATGGAACACCATAAGAGAAGCCTTTTCCTGTTAAAAGGAGGCTTTGGACAGCTGGTGTTCATCTGACTGTCACCTCCCTTTCCTCTAAATATCAACTACCCAGGCACTGCTTTCACAGAGCAGAGGTTGTCAAAGTCTGAAGGGCAAGTTCAAAGGTCATGATGCTTCTCTGGTTTGGAGGGGAAGGAAATGCTACAATGTTTTCCCGCCACTCTCATGTGTTACACAGGCCAGACTCCCTCCTTGTAGCGAAGGGATCTAGAAGTTTCCTACTCCCGTTCACTGGAGGAGAAGGAGAGTATGATGAGCTGGCCACTGTCAGAGTGGAATGGCCATGTGTGGGGTCTGTGGTAAGGGTGAAGGACCAACCACAAGTAGAGTAGGGACTTAAAGCACAGGACATTGTAGAACAAGAAAGCTAGTGGGGTTTGGTCATTGAGAATTGAGAGGGGCAGAAATTCCCAATCAAGTGTAGATTTGAGTTGGATATATCTCCAGGCTGAGTTCCTTTTTTTTTTTTTGACAGAGTTTCACTCTATTGCCTGGGCTAGAGTGCTGTGGCATCAGCCTACCTCACAGCAACCTCAAACTCGTGGGCTCAAGTGATCCTCCTGCCTCAGCCTCCTGAATAGCTGGGACTACAGGCATGTGCCACCATGCCCGGCTAATTTTTTCTATATATTTTTAGTTGGCCAATTACTTTCTTTCTAATTTTAGTAGAGACAGGGTCCCACTCTTGCTGGTTTCGAACTCCTGACCTTGAGCTATCCTCCTGCCTTGGCCTCCCAGAGTGCCAGGATTACAGGCATGAGCCACCGCGCACAGCCCAGGCTGAGTTCCTTGAGGGCAGGGACTCTGTAACTGTGTCACACTCACCTCTTCTCCTCCTGCTGTGGCCCAGTGTTCAGAGCAGGTGTTAACAGTGCCTTTGAATGGGCCGAGACACACAAGGACAAGTGCCCAGCACTGCTAGGGCTAAAGTGGCATCTCTAGGCCTCAGGGGGATAGGGCTGTTTTTCCTGAGAGTGATCTATGAGAAAACTCCTGTCAAGGCCTGGGAACCTCTGGATGAGAGCATGTTGGGAGCTCACCTGGAAAAGGCTCTAGGTTCTAGGTAGGCCTTGGCTCTCATCAGAACTAAGAGATCTTCTGTTAGAAAGAATGACTTCATAGGTTTTTGGCCAAATCCCAATGAGCCTGTCCCTGATCCCAACTCTAATCCTTTATTACTTTGTAAGAGCTGACAGGGAAAACCCTCGTGAAGCCCTGCCCTAGTTATACAAAAACCTTTCTGGGTGAGCTGGAGGAACCTGGGGCCTAGCCCTGGGCTGGGATTGTGGGAGTTGAGGCCTAGCTGGGAGTGGTCAGGGTTGCTCATGGCTGCCGGAATGGGACAATGGTGAATCAGAGGTAGCAGTACAGAGAAAGGCTGCTCAAAACCTAAACAGTGATTCAAAGTGCCCAGATCAAAGGGAGCAGGGCAGTGAGAAAAGAACGAAGCCCGACATGTCCATTTGCATCTAGATACAGCAAGTGGCGCCTGGGGGCCTGATGCTAAAACTGGAACACTAGTCCAGCAGAGCTCCCCAGGGACATGGTGAGACTACAGAGAAGAAGGCACAGTCCCCACTTGCCTGTGAGTGGCAGTGGGTCTGGACATGATGAGAGATGTAGCTCTTCAGTTAGGCCTGTTCTAGAGGTTGATAGGGTAAGGATTTTGTGTCTGGTTCTTCTAAGAATTTGATTAACTTCTGGAATATCTTATATGGGCCTCTAGACATTCTTAAGTTCTCCAGATCTTGGTTAGTTTCCCAGACTTGAGGCTTTGGGTTCATTGTCCAGAGGATTCCTCCATCTTCTCAACTTGTTTCCTCCTTGTACCCATGGTTCTGACTTCCTTAAGGCTTGGCAAACACAGGAAGTTGTGTAGGTTCAGGGATATCCTTTGGTGGGGACTACAGAATCCCAGTGATAAGAAGGCAGTGCTGTTTCTAGGGCTTGCCTCGGCTTTGGGGATGAGCCTAGATCTCCCTTTAGGCCTTAGTCCTTTTGTACCTGCTTCGTGCCAGGCCTTGGGATGGGTGCTGGGGACACAGAGTCATAAGATGTATATTAGTGGGATACAGGAGATGTTTTAAGAGGTTAAAGGAGAGATGGCTAACTCAGCTTGCTAGCGTGGTGGAGGTGGTATTAGGATACGATTAGACAGTGGGGCCTGAGGTTGAGAAGGCAGGGAATGGCACTCCAGGTGGTGGGAGTAGCATGGGCCAAAAGTTAGCAGGGGGAGCTGAAGTGGTTCAGTGTGGGCCAGGTGTTGGGGTGGGGTTAGGGAGGTGAAGGAGTGAGAGGAGGCCAGATGATGAAGGACCTAGAAGTTTGAACTATATCCTTGTGTATATGGAGCCTTGAAAGGTGGTAAAAGGGAAGTGACTTATTTAGTCCAGGCCATATCCCTGAGCTCTAGTCCCGTGCTTCTGCTAGACCCTGTGTCTGTATTACTCTCTACATATTCCTAGAGCCCAGCACATAGCCTGGCATGTGGTGGAAGGTTGGCGAATTTTTATTGCCCTTCTGCCACCGTCTCAAAGTGTCACAAACTGATCTAATTTCTCCTCCTTTCCTTGTCCCCTTGGTTCTGTCAACCACTTGTGTCTTGCCCCCATGTCTCCATCTCCTTGTCTTTCCTGTCTTGGAGCATGTGTTCACTCTGAGGTGGCCAGCTGCTAGTCTGCCCTGCAGGGCTGGCCTTTGTGTTGTGGGTACCATTTGGCACCCAGATGGCTCATAAGGGGGAGGTTCTCCCAAACACCGGGGCACAGGTTCTCCTTGAACCTTCCTCTTCCCAGGTCTCAGATTTGAAAATAAATAAAAGTAGGTAAAATAATGAAAAACAACTGCAAGGAAAGCAAAGCAGCAATATGTACAGAAGAAAGGATTCTGTTGAACCTACCACCTAGCACCAAGCATGACTTAGTATCTCAATTGAAGTGGTTACAATCTGCTGATAGTGAGTGCTGCCTCTGCCTTTCCTCCTCCATCTAAATTATTTCATTTATATTTCAAATAGATAATATATGCACCTGGTACAACATTTGAAAGGTACAAAAGGCATACAGTGGAAAGTAAGTCTTCCTTTTCCCTTCTCCTTCCAGCCCCCAGTTGTCTTCCTGAGTTAATTAGTGCCTAGCTTTTAACTACTTCCTTATATTTCTTTCTTGAAATACTTTCTCCTTTTGGCCTTTGTGACTTTACAGAATTATCTGGTTTTCCTCCTGCCCACTGCTCACTCCTCTGTGTCATTTGGCTTCTCCTCTGCCTGATCTATACTTGCTGTGGCCCAGTGCTTGGTCCTGGGGCAACTTCTTTTTTATTTTTCCATTCTCTTGCTTGGTGTCTCTGGCACAATAGTTTAAAATCCCACCTGTAAGTTCATGCCTTCCATGAGTATTCAGCCAGTCCTAATTTCTCTGAATCTCAGACTTTATATCAAACTGCTTACTTGAGATCTCCAATTGGATATCTAAGAAATTTCTCAAACTTAGTATTTACAAACCAAAATGAAGCTAAAAGTAAAAAACTCTTCAATTCCCATTTCACTTCTCCTAGTTCAAGCCTCTTCTTTCTCTAGTTGTGATCATCTTCTCAGTAAATGATATTGTCATCCACCAATTGCACAAGTTCAAAATTTAGGTGCTATCCATGATTTCTCTTTATCCTCTATTTTCTCACAACCAGTCCATAGAGAGAAAGTCTTATTGACTTTACTTCTAAAGCATGACCTGAAAGTACCTACTTCTCCCCATTTCAACTCTCAGCAAACCTTCCCCCAGCTCTCTCCTGGGCCACCAGAGTGGCCCTAAATGGTCTCCCTGCAGTCCATCCATCCCTCATTTACTGCCATGTTGATTGGTGCTGGCTGACTGTGGGCAGGGGCTCTGCTGGGTCCTGGGCTGTTCCCACAGAGAAGGCATCTCCAGTCTGCAAGCCCCACCCAGAGCCTGGCACTGGCCACTCTACTTGGGCCTTTCTAAAGAAACCCAGAGCCCACCCATATGAGGACATGCTAGGACTCCATCTACCTTGCCTTCCACTCCAGGATCTTTCAGACTGTATCCCATCCACTTCTCACCTTTGCTCCTCCTGGTTTCTTGAGCTTCCTTGCTTTGGCCTTATACCTTCTATGATGGCTGATGTTGGTTTAGCCTGTTGACTCAGGTTGGACTCTTTTGCTTGGCTTCTTCCTTGGCAGCTCTTGAGGACCTGACTTCTGGTGGCCTTTCTCTGGCCCCATCACAAGGTGAAGGTCCCTGTACTTCTCTGGTATACACTGACGGAACACTCTTACCACATAAAGAGCACTCTCACCACATAAAGAGAGGGGGACTGAATGTGGATGTTATATAGTTTAAGCAAGGAGCACATCTTAATCAGACAGGTCATGTCCACTGCTCCTTTGGTTAAGTCAACCATAAGCAAAACGTGGAGCAAAATGTTTCTTCCCCTGGACTGTCTAGCCAGGAGATAGGCCACCTCCTAAGTGTGAGCCCCTACCCTTGGGACTCATTCACTGCAATATTGTTGTGGTGGTGATTCCTGCCTTAGGAGATGGGGTCAATGACATGACTTGTGAGGGTATTTCTGGTCCTTAGGGTTTGACACCAAAGATGAGGGGAATCTGCTTTAGATATCAGAGATGGAAGTTTCTGAGCAGCTAGGTCAGTTCAAGAGCTCTCTGAGGGGCCCACTTGTTGACACCCTTCTTTAACCCAACAGCTACTTTAGCACCTGGTGTGAGCCAGCTGTGTGCTAGGCACTGATGCTACAGTGAAACAAAAGTCACAGACCCCCTTCCAGCCTTGTGGAGCTTTGCTGGAAGCCAGTGCCTTGGCTGACTTGTTCCATGCCTTGGAACTCAGTGGGATGTCAGGGCCTGGAATTTTTGTCCCAGAACAGAGTTTGGAGTATGCTGGTCAGGATAACCACATAAGTGAATAGTGGCTTCTGGTTTGCTGGGCCAGCATAAAGCCATTTGTCCAGAAGTTCAGAGAAGCCTAATTAGGAGCCCCTGCCTCCTCTGAACTGTGAGGTTTTTAGGGCTTTTATAGCTGCAAATGCTGCCGAAGAGGGGTTTATCCAGGGGAAGAGAAGCCAGGGAGACATTTCTGCTCTCCAGTAAGAGCAGAAATAGTCTGAGGCTGATGGAACAGACTGTGGGGGAGCCCCCTGAGGGCAGCGTGGAGGGAGGGGAGTCAAAGATGTTGGGGTCTAGTGTCATTAAGGTCAGAGCTGCCCCCAGCTGGGCCGATTTGTTTATTGCTTCATTTATTCAGCAAACATCCATCTGTGAGGTGTGCACTCTCTGTTAGGTCCTGTGTGCGGAGGAACAAAAATAAAATAAGACAAGGTTCGTGTTCTCAAACTGCTGATAGTCTGGAGGTGACCTGGGAGGTCATGAATGGCCTTCATCAGGGGTGTTCAAGCACTTGGAAGGGTGTAGGGTGAGGAATGAAAAGAATAAAGGGTCTGATTGGTGGTGGTAGTGGAGGGGGTTGGACAGGAGGCCTTGAAGGAGCTTTCCAACACCCCCCAAAGAGCTAGTGTTCTGAATTCTTGGGGCCCTGCTGGGTGAATGGGCTTGTTCAAGATTATAGTGCTGTGGGGCTGGTCAGGAATGCTCGGGGAGGAGGGGTTGGACTGGGGTAAGGGACGGGCAAGGCCTATGGTCAGGAGGGCCTGCACTGGAATCCAGAAACAGCCCACAGACCCTGCAGACTGGGGTAGGACAGAGGTGATCAGAAATGACTGCCTAGGCAGGAAGGACCCAGAGCTCAGAGAGACCTCAATCAGAGCAGTAGGCCAGAGGGGCTTCCTCCCTAGCCAGTCCAGCAGGTTCTGTTTGCCTAGGTTTAGCAGCACCCTTGCTGTTTCTCCTTCCACCACTCCTGCTTTTGTCTCAGGGTCTCCAGGATGAGTGTCAGTACCTGCTTCAGCCGCAGCTGATCGTCCGGCGCTTGCTGGACGTGGCTGTGCTGGTTCCTGGCCGTCCCTCAGAGCAAACCCTCTCCCCCCACAATCGCTCAGCCCTGTACAAGTAAGTCGACTACTCCCCAAACATGGCCCTTTCCCTCTTCCTTCTCTTGGCTTCTCAGCCTGCCTGCCCGCCTGGTCCTGCTCTCCCTCTGGCCAGACTGGACCCAGAGCCCCCAGGGTGGGCAGGATCTCTGCCTCCCCCTCTCCCAGAGGGAAAGACCTGGCAAGGCCTGCTGTATCCCTGTGTCTCCTGCCCTCTCTGTGCCCCTTCTTCCTGGCATTTCCCTCATTCTTGGATTCCTCTCACTCTGTTTGTCCTTTCTTACCCCCACCCTCTCCTCTGCCCAGGGTCTTCGTGCCCAGCTTCACGTACAGGGTTTCAGCGCAGCTGGTGTGTGTGGGGGGCCGAGGCGTGTCTGCCTGTCCCCTGACACTCCGCCTACGTCCCAAGGCCCCACCCCTGCACAACTCAAGCTCTGTGGCCTGTGGAAGTGCCTCCGTATGCCAGCTGGAGCTGGCACTGCCCCCCTGGGGACACTGGGTCTATGTGCGTGTGGAAACACCATCCCGGGGCTCTGGCAGGACCATCCGCTTCCAGCTGTGTGTGCGGTTGCAAGGTCAGAACCCCACATCTGCCCCACCCACCCAGCCTGTGCAGACATCCATGGCTGGGAAGTGACTTGGGTGGCTGTGTTCAGTGACCCTCAGCCACATCCCTACAATCTCGCCTCCTGTGCCCAGGCTCCCTCACAGTCCCTGAAGTCCTCCCACTCAGAGCTCCAAGTCATGGGAAGGCCTTCAGATCATTTTTTGTTTTTTTTTCAAATGACTTGGTATAACTAAAGGACCTCATTACTTTCCTTGATTTAATCTCTGTTTCAGTTTCCTAGGATAGGCAGGGACAGCCAGGACGTCTGGGATATTGTCCTTGCCAAAACCAGCATGAGGCAGTGAGACAGCCCATCATAGTTATCTCTTCCAACAGTGTCTTCACTGCCCTTGGAGAGGGACAGATGGCCTTGGGTCCCTCCAACATGACCTAACATTAGCTGTCACCACTAGGAAACCCCTGTGACTATGGATGCCCTACATTCCCAAGGGACATTGGCTTCTAATTCTACCCTTCCCCACCCTTTGCTAAATCTTGTCTGGCTCAGATCTGGGTTATGAGTCAGATCAGGGCTCTGAGGGCTGCAGACCTCAGCTCTGGTTTCCTCTGCTCACAGAGTGCCCGCAGCCCAGCCTGTCCCGTGCCCTAGTTCCTGGAGCTGCCATGAACATGCCCCAGTCACTGGGCAATCAGCCACTGCCCCCTGAGCCGCCATCCCTTGGAACTCCTGTGGAAGGGCCTGGGGCCACGTCGCCACCTGAGCACTGCTGGCCAGTGCGTCCGACTCTGCGCAACGAGCTGGACACCTTCTCCGTCCACTTCTACATCTTCTTCGGCCCCAGCGTGGCCCTTCCCCCTGAGCGCCCGGCTGTGTTCGCCCTGAGGCTGTTGCCAGTGCTGGACAGCGGAGGCGTCCTCAGCCTGGAGCTCCAGCTCAACGTGGTACTCTTTGTGGACAGTGGGAGGTGCCCTGGGGGACAGCTCAGAGGGGAAGGTGTCAGGGGTGCGGGGGCCCTTACCTCTTCCAGGAAGCTTGTCCACGTTACTTCCGCCCATCCTGACAATGAGGCCAATTGTGGTCAACAAACATGCTCTGAGTATTGACTCTGCTATGAATGGTCAAGTCAGAGTAGTCTGAGTTTTCTCAAATTTGTAGGCTCACCTGCCACTCACTGACAGCCTTTCTCTAGGGTAGTTGTCCACTTTTTCTTGCATATCTCCTGTGACGGGAGTTCATCACCTCTTGAGGCCGTGCAGTCCGTGTTTGAACAGCTCTAATTGCTAAAGACCACTTTCCCATCAACCAATCTGAGGCCTGGTCTATGGTTTGATGTGGTCTTTTATGGGACATGGCTCAAACTTTCCAGTGGTCCTGCTAAGTCAGGACAGAGCTGGCTCTTCAATCTGAAGATGGTCCTTATTTTTGTACTCAAATTCTCTCTCTGTTCTGGCTAAGACTGTATGTACGTTGTGTCTGCTTATTACCGTACCTTTGGGCAATGACAGTGAGGTCTTGATTTGACCTTGAAACTATAGACCCCAAATTAGAGGACAGCCTCACCTGCATTCTCTCTTCCTCCGTACTGTGAGAATAGAGGCCCAGGCCCGCTGCAGCCCTTTCCCCTTTCCCCCTCTACATTCTTGTCCACTCCCATTGAGGAGCATGTTTCTGTTCCACCTGTCTGTATGCCATGACACTTGCCACACACCGCAGACAGCCTGTTCTATTTGTTCTGAAAGATACATCGGCACATCTGCTCTGATCTTTCCCTCCAATTTTTTTATTTTTCTCTTGAATCAGATTGGATATTTGAATCAGAGAACTGCATAGCTAGAGGACATTTTTTTCCAGCTTTCTCCTAGAATGACTTTCACTGAATAATATTAATACTTTGGCATATTGCTCTGGGTTTGCATTAAGGGAAATTATAAGCAAGTTGTATGTAACTCCAGTGGTTGAGGACAGGATGCATGACAACTCAGTGCTCCTTCAATGAGAATTTATCTGAGAACCTCCCCTTTGGATGCTACAATTCTCCAGAAACTCTGATTAACTTTTATCTCAAATACTCATGAATTTTCCTCCTTTGCATTGGTTACTTAGAAGTCAGTATCAAATATGTGGCCCATATTAGGGAAGACTTTATTTTCCTATCCTGATTAAGTTTCCCTCATGCATTTATTTTTATACTGTTTTATATATTGAATAAGCTGCCTCAAATCTTTCTTGAATGAGGTGAGCGTATGGCATCCTGTTACCTTCATTCTTGTAGACAACCCCTTACATTTACTCTTGCTGATATCTGGTTTCTTTTAATCCCAGCCAGGTTGCTACATTTAATCTCTTGGGCATTCTGTTACCACCGTTCTGTGTCTAGGATCATTTCACCCAAGGAGGAGTGAGTTTCTTTACACTCCTGCCTTCAGGTCTGGGTGAAGGTGATGGGAAACCTAACAATTACTTTGTCCATAACTATTTAACAGTTTCTAAATCCAGCAACCCTCCCCCCCCCAAGCTAGATAATACTAAAAAAGAGGATATTCTCTCTTGCTTGGATAGAATTGAAACAATTCTGCCCAAAGAAAAGATTCAGAATTGGTCTGTGCCTTCTCATTAGTCTTTGAAAGATTTCTGCTGTGGAGGATCTGGTGTTTTC